AAAAAAAAAAAAAAAAACCTTTCAAAAAAAATGTAAAAAGCAATTTTCTAGATTACTAGCAGATTTGATACCACAGAAGAAACATAAAAACAGCTAAACTTTAAGGAATAGCTTAAACTAAAGAACTAAAACTAAGAACAGAGAGGAAAAACATGTAAAGAAAAAAATGTTGAACAGTTTCAGTGACCCGTAGGGCAGCATAAAGCATGGACTAACGTACCTGTACCTAAAGTCCCAGAAAGGGAGAGGAAACGGAAACAAAGCAGGCTTTTCACAAGTAGATCTTAATGCCAGCCAAAGGAGAGACATAAAGGGACTTTGAAATTCATGGGAAAATGGGATGAAAGTACAACTTCATTTTAGTGCAAGAAAAATCGAAAATCCATCAAGAGTTTTTTCATAACACACGTTTTCTCTTGAAGACCCCCTGTATTACATGCAGGAAAGCAGATGTAGGCACGCAAGAGTGACAGCAGACTCTTCACCAGATTCTGCAAGTGAGAAGACGGTGGATGACATCCTTAATGCACTGGGGAAGAAGCTGTCCACCTAAAATGCTATATGCTGCAAGAACATCAGAAATAAAGATGAACTAAGGAATTCTCGGAGTTTTTTATATTGGCTCTAAGCTTTCACCTTAAACCAGGGGAAAAGGGAAAGTAAACTCTAAGTACATAGGAGAAAAGTAATAAAATGCAGAAGCCAACCATATGGGAAGCAGAAAAATAATGAAAAAAATGAACAGAACTCGAAGCTGCTTTTAGCAAAGATCAATAAAATCAATAAGAGCAAAGATAATGGACAAAAGAACAAAAGCACCGGCAGTCACTACAGGTATTAAAGGCTAATAGAAATATTGTGAACAGCTTCGTATCAATGCAGTCGCCAGTATAAAGAAAGCAGACACGCCCGGGGTGGACACAGTTACAACAGCTTGCTAAAGGAGAAGCAAGAGGCCGCATGGCCCTATGCTGACGCAAGAACTTGACCGAGAGCTCGAAAAGTTTTACATACAGAAAAACCACGGGCCAAATGGCCTCACTGAGCAAGCCTACCAGGCGTGTAAGGAAATTATCCCAGTTCTATGTGACTTCCAAGGCCAACAGAAGAGGAGGGGTCCTTCCCGAGTCCACATCTGCAGCGGGACTGCACGTTCTATCAGCATCGACCTGAAACAAAAATCAAAGATATTTCCAGAAAAGAAAACCAAACACCGATTTCTCTCCTACACACAAATGCAAAAACCTTCCCCAAACCAGGTAGTGGCGTGCAGTAATATACGCAAAGGGTAACAGTTCACAACTGGATCGTTCCTGCCAGAACACATGGTTGGTTTATTAGGCGGAAGCCAAGCAAGGCCACTCACCACATGACAGGCCGAAAGAGGAGAACAACATCATAGCAATAAACGCAGAAAAAGCATTTGAGAAAATTGGACACATTTGTATTCTAGAAACTGAACAAAGTAGGAAAAGACAGGGACGTCTTCAGGCTGATAAATGACACCTTCCCAAAAGAAAAACCCACCGGCAGTATAGTAAGTGAAGAAGAGGGAAGGTTTCCCCTGAGATGAGCCAGAAGGCAGGGCTGTCTCCTCTCACCGCTGCTACTCAGCACGTGCTCATCCCAGCAGTTCCTTGGTCCTAAGGCAATGGGAAGGCAAAGCATTTGGTTAGGAGGGGAAGAAAACAACTATCTTTATCCACAGGGAAAAATGATTATGTAGAAAATTCGAAGGACTCTACAAAAAAATCTACTAGAACAAATATCTAAATTTAGCAAAATTTTAAAATGTAGGATCATTACCAAACTCAATTATATTTCTATGTATTAGCAATAGAGAATTGGATTTTGAAATTAAAACATTTTATCTTCTTTATTTCTGTCTCTTTCTCTCTCATCTTAAAAATAAATTAAGGTGTATCCCAAGGTATGAGCTATGGGACATTATGAACTTTTTTAAAAGAATTACTTAATTTTATGTATTTATCTTTAAATTTGACCAGAGAGGGACAGAACAAAAGCAAGAGAGAAAGTGAGAGAGCAAGCCACCAGGTCCAGGACTCGAACCATAGTCAGCTATGTGGGAGT